AGTTTGCTCCCTCAACCCTCCATTCCCTCCATACATAGTCTTCAGTGTTGGAAATCTCAGAGTTTTCTCATTGGAACCTCACCTGTTCTGCTTACATGTTCTTGTTTATCTGCCTTGGAACTCATTTAAATGCCATATCTTAGAAATGAATAAACACACGTGGACATCAGATTGATTATATGTTGCTTTTTATTTTTCAGCATTTCCATCTGGACACTTACTGCCCACTGAACAGATACTTGAAATCTGCAAGTGGTGGAACTGCAGCCTGTCTTTCATTTTGGGAAGCGATAGCCCATGTGCCGTGGACATGAACGGGGAGCAGCAGCTTGACACAGGTAGCTGGGTTCTCTTCTGAGTGTAGAATCATTTCGTTTACATTATCTGACTTGTCTTTCTGCCACTGAGTGTGAAAGTCTTTGAAGACAGGAGATACCCTTCTCTCCACCTGCAGAGGACCTGGCGCTAATGGGATAATTAGTTTGCTTGAAAAGTGCACTTTATGATCAAAGCTTCAAAATTACAACGTTTGGAGCCAGGGAGATAGTACAACAGGTGCTGTCTGACTGGGGTCTGGAATATAAGTGGAATCTAACTGGCACCCGCCTCGTGCAAGATGATTGCTATACAGGCAGCTGCTTGAGGCTCAATCCCCAACTCCATCCTGAGCACTACCAAGAGTATTTGTTCCCTGAGTGCTGAGTCAGGAGTAAGACCTGAGTTCTATAGGATGTCTTCCATTTCATTTCATACTCCCCATAAAAATGCATTTTAATTTTGATAATTGTTTACGTTTGTTATTTATTTAAGTAGTTATACGTTTATAGGAAAGTTCAAAGATATTGTTAGCAGGTCTTGTGAACCCTTTGCCCCGTTTCTGCCATTAATTAACATCTCATATAACAGTACGGTCTAAAAGCCAGAGAGGACATGTATAAAATGTATATAGTCTTGCATCATTTTATCAAGGATATAGATTCCTGTAACCACCATCTCAGTCAAGATGCAGGACTTTTTAAATTTTTTTTTTTTTTAAATTGGGCCACATCCGGCTGTAGTCAGGGCTTACTCTGTGCATAGGAATCACTGCTTGGTTTTACAGTAGTCTTTCTTTTGTCATTTCATTTCTGTTTCTAAAATTTCTTTTAGCCATTAAAAAATGTCTTGGTAACAAATCTTATTTTACCTTCATCTGAGAATGACATGATTTTGCCATTCATTCCTGTTTGTTATTTTGGTGGGTTCCTTCTGGGCAATTATCGGCGTACCTGGCAGTGCTTCAGTGCAAGGCCTGGATGATCTGGTGCTGCTCTGATCCTGACGTCGGAAGCCTGCCTGGGTCACTCCAGGTGCTTAGGCCTCCAGGTGTGGTGGTCATACTTCCCGGGCTACTCCTTGTGATGCTCAGGACATCTTGTGGTGTAGGGAATCGAATGAGGGCCAGCCTCATGCAAAGGATGTACCTTAACTCCTGTATTGTTTTTCCTGCCCCTCCCCCCCGTCTATTTTATTTAATTAATTATTATTATTATTTTTTTGACCAACACCTAGCAGTTTACTCATGGCTCTGTTGGCTCTTTGCTTGGGGATTACTCCTGGTGGGGCTTGGGGGGACCATAAGTGGTGCTGGCATTGAACTGTACCGACAGTGTGAAAGGCAAACACCGTTTGTATCCACTGTAATGTGCTGTTTCTCTCACCCCTGCCTGTTTTGTTTTTTGAGAAGTGTGATTCTGATGTATGCTTGCATGGATTTTTTAGTTTATAGCATGTGAGGTTCTCTTGGCTTCTTGAAACTGTAAGTATATATATCTCACCCAGTTTGGAAATTTTTTCAATTCATATCTTTAAATACTTTGCCCAGGGCAGGTATGGGGGGTCTAGGGTATGTGGAGCCAGAGAGATTTGTGGACACACCAGGCAGTCCTCAGGGGCTATTCCTGGCTCTGTACTCAAGGATCACCTCTTCTGGTGCTTGGGGGACCTTATGTGCTGCTAGGGATCTAACTGGGTTCTACCTCATGCAAGGTAAGCATTTTTATTTTTAAAAGTTGTTCACAATAAATTTGTTACATCTAATATTACAACACCAGTCCCACCACCATTATACCTACCCACCACCACATTTCAAATGTTTCCACCCCAACCCCCAACCCCGCCCCCAAAGCAGGACCTAAATAATTTATTATGTATTGCTTGTTATGAATAATCTAAAAATGATCCAAAAAAGTTTTCTTAGAGGAAAATGTGTGAAGGTTATTGTGTCTCGGGGCTGGAGTGATAGCACAGCGGGTAGGGTGTTTGCCTTGCGTGCGGCAGACCCGGGTTTGATTCCCAGCATCCCATTTGGTCCTCTGAGCACCGCCAGGGGTAATTCCTGAGTGCAGAACCAGGAATGACCCCTGTGCATCTCCGGGTGTGACCCCCCCCCAAAAAAAAAGATTATTGTATCTCACCCTGGAGTCAATAAGCTCTTGTATAAGAGATTACCAATATATAAAATGTTGTGTGGCCACAAATGTGGCTGCCCACTCCAGATATTCTAAAATTCTGAGTATAGCTAAGGTTGATTTAATTTTTTTCTTTTTAACTGAATGGTGACTTTGGGACATCTCTGAGGCATATCGTTCTGAGAAATTTATTTGTGCGTCTCTGGCTCATGACTGTTAATGAGTTTATATGGCGCTGGCGGCAGTTCCTGGGTGTGACTACCAGGCTACCGGAAGGGAAGGGAGTTGGGGGCAAGTCTTCCATTCCCGATTCCATGCAAGTCTGGAGATTTCAGTCACAAGTCCTGCATTCCTGGGCTTTTCAGCAGATTCACTCATGGATGAGGCTGTCTGTGCCTGTGGAGAGCTGCCTTGAGCATGGTGATGATTGAGTTCTGGAGGTTTTCGGCTGCTGGGGCTCAGTTGGGGCGGGAAGGGGAACTGACCTTCCCCCCCCCCCACCCCGGTCTGGATTGCCCTGGATGAGACAACCTAGTGCTGGGTCAAAAGGCATCTCTGGCGTATAGTTCTGTGTTGCTCTCTTCCAAGAGATTTATTTGTGAGTCTCTGGATCATGGCCACTATGGAGCTTTGATGGCGCCAGAGGCAGTTGGTGTGCATGACTGCCGGCTACTGAAGCACAGGGAGATGAGGGGGACGGGGGGGTGCCCATTCCCAGCTCCTTGTGACGGGCAAGCATCTTAACCCCTGTATTATCTGCAGCCCTTAAATACTCTTTTTTGCCCCTTTGGTTTCTGAACCACACCCAGAGGTGCTTGGGACCACGCCTTGCTAGACTGAACCCACTACTCTTCCATGCACACTGTGAACTCTCGTCCTAGCTTCCAGTCCTCCCTCCTATTTTTCTGATACTCTGTTTGCACTAATGATGCATAAAAAGTATAATTAACAATAGTGTAAATCAAGGTACCTCAAAAATGTGAAGAAAAAATTAAAATTGTGATGTCTTCTGTGATAGTTTGTATCATTGCTTTCTGGGTAGTAAGCTTCCCATGTTGAATGCACATTTCCTGTTCTATACTTGTAACCTGCTACTTTTCTGAGGATCTTTTTTTTCTTTTATGTTTTTGTGTTATTTAGGGTGATACTAAATTGTCATTTCTTCTAGGTCTTATCTATCTACAAGCATAACTTAAATATAGCACAGCGGTAGGGCGTTCGCCTTACAAGCGGCCAACATGGCCGACCCGAGTTCGATTCCTCCGCCCCTCTCGGAGAGCCTGGCAAGCTACCGAGAGTATTCGATATGCCAGACACAGTAACAGCAAAGTCTCCAATGGAGACGTTACTGGGCCCGCTTGAGCAAAACTTAAATATACAAACTTTTAATTAATTCATTTGTGGGGGCCACAACTTGTGGTGTTCAGAGCCTACTTCCAGCTTGGTACTTAGGGGACCATGCTGTGTAAGGGATTGAACCCACGCTTCCTGCATACAAAAAATGTGTTCCAAATGTTGCACTGTCTTATTGGTTCCCCAAACTACACAGCTTTTGAAGGAAAACTGATGATTTTATTTGTTTGCAATATATTTCCTTAGTTTTGTCTTGTCTGTTTTGAAAATAAATTATTTTGTAATGATGTTAATATCATAACCTTTTTGTTTTTATCTTATATTATTCTTAAATTTTTTTTTTTCCTTTCGGAGAGGAAGGGGGATTCTTCAGCTATGATCAAGGATTTCAGAGGCCACTCCTAGTGATACTGTATTAACTGAGTTCATACTAGGCCCTTTGATGCCAATTTAATCTGGGATCTGCATTGTGCAAAATATAAGCTTTACTCATCCTGTATTATCTCTCCAATCCCTGAACATTTGTGGTTTTGTAATTTTGTTATGAATATCTCTGGGGTAGGTTCCTAAATACAGCACCCACACTATGCCCCATGGTAGAACACTTGCCTTACATGTGCGGCCCTGAGTTCAATCCCGGTCAACAGACACATGCTCACACTCACATTGTATCTGTGATATTGCCCCTCTGTCTTCCACCAGAATTGTCATTATGCTTTATCTGCCTAAGTACAGCCTCACCATAGAATGTGTTGTCAAACTTTGGGATTTTTTATAATCTCATGTCTAAATGCAGTTTATATTCTCATCTATCATTAAACTCCGGTTTAATCTAGCTTTGGGTATTGTATAATGCTGCTATGAATGTTTGTTTACAAATACCTATTTGAGGGGCTGGAGCTGTAGTACAGCAGGTATGGTGCTTGCCTCGCACATAGCTGAACCCAGGTTTGAGCCTTAGCACAACATATGGTCTCCCAAACTCCAGTAGGAGTGATCACTGAGTGCAAAGCCAGGAATAAGCCCCGAGCAGTGTGGGGTTTGACTCAATAAGCAAAATAACAATGCTTTGTTGAATTCCTATTTTAAGTCCTTTTTGGATATGTACTTATGAGATGAATTGCTGGGTTATAGAGTAATTGTGTTTTTTGAGGAACCACAATATCATTGAATTCCTACAGCAGAAGTGCATAAAGAGGGCCTACCCACAGACCGATTGACTATTGATGGAGAGGCAGGGGGGACAGTATATGCAAGAGTAATTTGGAGTTGGTATCAGCTCTAGTCAGCTTAATCAGTGGCTGAAATACTCCTACATTCTCAACAACAACAACAACAAAAAAAGTGCATAAAAATTCTAATTCTCACATCTTTGCCAACATATATTTCTTTTTTATTGTTATTATAGTCATCCTAATGGATATGAAATGATACCTCATTGTGCTTATGATTCATATTTTCCTAAAGATGTTGAGTTTGTTTTCATATTATTTCCATTTAAAAAATAAACAATAAACTTTTTTTTTGTTTCCCTTCTAATCCAACTTTCTTCTCTCCATCTTCAAAGGTAGAACAGTCAAAGTTGGTATATATTTTCCCATCCTTGTTTTGTGGTCTTATTAATATGATTGTGTTTATATATTTTACACTGTAGAGGTTTGTTTTGAAGCCTAAATTGTACCTTGCTGTACTTTTTATTCTGTAGCTACTATAATTGATAGTTGCTTAATAAGATGAAAAATTTTTTTTTGTCATTACTAGTTTATATGACAGTGACTAGTCACCACAGTGACACTGGTCACAGTGACTAGTTTATGTGGGCTGGAGCGATAGCACAGCGGTAGGGCGTTTGCCTTGCATGCGGGCGGCCCGGATGAGCCGTGTTCAATTCCTCTGCTCCTCTCAGAGAGCCTGGCAAGCTACTGAGAGTATCTCACCCACAAGGCAAAGCCTGGCAAGCTACCTGTGACGTATTTAATATGCCAAACACAGTAACAACAACTCTTTTTAATGTGCAGTGGGATTATTGCTTTATGGTGTGTTTGAATCTTTTTGTTTTGTTCTGTTTTTCTTGGTGCTTTTTGGTTTGGGGGCCACACCCGGCAGTTCTCAGGGCTTTCTCTTAGCTCAGGAATCACTCCTGGCCAGGAATGGGTGATGAGATGGGGTTGCTGGGAATTGCGCCTGGGTTAGCCACATACAAGGTGTGAGCCTTACCTGCTGTACTATCTCTCAAGCCCAAGGTGGTGATCCAACTAGATCATGTAAGGCCTCTATATTCTTGTAAAGACTTTAGATTTTATTGTAAATGTGGTTAAATGGTAAATGGTATTATGACAAGATCTTGAACTAGAGAAATAGCAATGTGTATGGTGGAAAATTATACTTAGAGTATGTTTTAAAGGGGGAGGAAGAGTAACTCCATGTTGTTTTAGAATTTAGATAAAATATTGACTATTTTTGTTCAGAGAGTACTAAGGAAAATAAGATTGTAACTTTAAGTTCAAATTGTCCATTAAGTATCTCACATATTTAACATTGATGCTAAATTATATCCCAAAGTGATTGTCATCATCATACTTTGAATAGTTTTTCCTGATGTGTTTTGGTGAGCCCCAGAAAGATCCCAGCAGGCAATAGCTTGCACACTTCTGTTCCGCTGAGATTCCTTAGCGGCTAGTGCACTAAGAGATGCTACCATTTAAAGGAGGATTTGAGAGTTTTGTTTATATGTTAAATTTGCTTGCTTAAAAATAATTTTAAGTTAGGTTTACTAAATTTGTGTTTTCGGATGTTTTCTTTAACTGGAACTTGCTTACAAATGACTTTTGTTCTGTTTGATTTTAATTCCAGATGCTGGATCTGGAGTGGAAGAAGTTGAATTAAGCTGGGAAGATTACCTCGAAGAGACAGGGTCCTCCGCAGTTCCTTATGGGTCATTTAAACATGTAAGCAGTAATCGGATTCTCTCTATTCACTATGACCATTTCCTTTGACTCACTGTACTATCAGTAGAGACTTTGGACCGTTTTTTGGAGGGCGTGGGAGGTGGAGATGGATGGTCTTCTACATGGTGCTCAGTGAACCTGCGGCCACTCTCAGTGACTCTTTGCCAGCCAGGCAGCAGACAGTTGGCGTGAGGGCCTAAGAGTGTAGTGCTGCTTGTGCCCTCTGGTGCTGCAGAATCTCTTCAGTGCCAGGGACCATCTGCACCATCCAGCATGCTTAGGGTCTCTGGGACCACACTGGGAATGTCTGGGTACCTCCAGGGCTCATTTATTAATGCTTGGGTACCATGTGACGCTGGGGACCGAGTTCACGGTCAGGCTTATGAAAGGAATGCACGCAAACCCTGTGCATTTCTGTGGCCCTAGAGTCTTTAAGTGTAGGATTTTTCAAGAAGGAAAGTCCCTTTTTCTTTCCTTCCTTTGCCGTCATCGTTAAGAAAACCTGACATATTAAATTTTTTAATTTTATGTGTTTTCTACCATTCAATGTATATCTTTGGTATCTGGCTGCTCATGATTGTTTTTGTAAAAAATCTTTATAAATTTAAGACAGTGTTATTTTTTCTTTTAAGAAAACATTTTTGTTTTTGCTTTTGCAATTTTTTTTGGGGGGGGGATAGAAATTGGGACACATTTGCTGTGCTCAGGGTTCACTCCTGGCTTTGTGCTCAGGATTCCCTCCTGGCAGTGCTTTGGGGGCTATTATGTGGTGAAAGGGAGAAAACCGAAGTTGGCCAAGGCAAGGCAGGAACATAAACCTGTGTACTGTCTCTCCAGCCTAAACCTGGTTTACTGTGATTTATAACGTAACATTTTATGACTGTTCCTTTGCACATTGGAAATGATTTTATCGTTTCCGAACAAACTGAGATTGGCCATGTGCACGGCAAGCACCTAAACCCAAGTACTATCTCTCTGGTCTGAAAATGGTTTATGATTTATAACGTTTTGTGACTGTTGGTTTGCTTATTGGGAATGATTTTAATACTTTTTTCTCTCATATTGGGCCAAAACATAAATAATAGTTTGTTTCTCTGAAATATAGTTTTATGTCCTAATAACCCAGTTGAATGGTTAATCAATGAGCAATTGTATTTGTTCTGTGTGATACATTTAGAATATAAAAAGACACTCCACAATTTGTTAAGTTAAATTTAGGTCTAGTTCTTTAACCTTTTATTCTAATTTCTCTCTCTCTTTAAAACATTTTGGGCTTTGTGCCTCACAAGCAGTGCTCAGAGTACCACCAGAGGGCACATGCCCTTCTGAGATGTCTCCCCAATCATCTAAATTCCCTTTAAAAATGCACACAAGTGTTGTTTCTAAAACTACTTATTTCATGTTGTCTCTGTCCCTTCAGTCTGCCTTAGGAATTGTGTATTTAGTTAAAGATATAATTTTTATTGTATTGGCTCATCTTTTAAAATTATCTTATATATTTTATATGTAATTTTTTAAACCTTCTAGCCATCATATAATGCTTTTGAATTCTTGCTGTAATGGAATATTATTACCATTCTGATAAATATTTACAAATGTGTATATATCTATAAAATGAAAATTGGAAGACAAATTCCTTGACCAAAATTCTGGTCTAAAAATGCCACTTTGAAGAGATAGGTGCCACATTTTCCTCTTTGAATGGCCCCTGAAAAAGAGTAGGGGGGGATGAAAATAAAAATATTCTTATCGTCAAACTTCAGATATATCCATAAACCTGAATGAGTATGCAGTGATGGACTGCAAGATAGAGTGAGAACTGTGGCTGTAGCCTCTGAGATGGGTTGTGTGCGGCTATCTTGCAGGCAAAGTTTGCAGTAATGACACCTCCAGAACAGTGGAGATAGATATGCAAGCCTTTGGCAAGAGTTATTTACAGCCCAGCTTGGAACAAGAAAGGAGAGAACAAAGGGATGAGAAATGAATTAGAAATTAACACTTGAGAGTAAAAAAGGATTAATTTTAAAAAGCAAAGGATGCAGACCTATAAACTTTAGGGCAAAGATGAGACCCACTACAGTCTGAGAATAGGACAGTGGGGGAAAAAAATGGGAAAATGACCTTTGCCCATGATACAGGGGTAGAAATACAAGCTGGAATATTAGAGGCCTCTCAGTTTGGGAGTGAGGGTATCAGTGAGAAGTTTCTAGTTTCTAATTAATTTTGGGAGGGCCTCCTCTGGTGGGGCGCAGGCAGCCCGCTGGTGGTGGGATGAAACCTGGGACCCCTGTGTGGGAAGCCTGAACTCTAGCTCTTGGAACCAGCTCCCTGGCATGGGATTGGCTCCCTTTAGTACCTGGAAGCCCAGAGGACCGATACATGTATTTCCTAGGTCTGTGAAATGGCAGTCGGTGACTAGGAAAAAATGTCCATAGAAGCTGAAGAGTAGAATGAGAGGTCACACCAGTGGTAACACATGCTCTATCACGTGCGGGGCCCTGAATTTAATTCCTGGTACCGCACACTCACCTCACACCCCAGTCCAGTACTGACAGTGTTAAATTGTAAGGAAAGGCCCAGGTTCACAGTTTAAAATAAGTAAAATTTAACTCTATTGTAATCATTTTCCTAAATTGTAATTATTATTATTATTATTATTATTATTTAAAGACTGAACCAGGGACTGAAGTGACAGTGCAGTGGGTCGGGCATTTGCCTTGCACATGACCAACCTGGGTTCAATCCCCAGCATCACATATGGTCTCTTGAGCACCACCACCAGAAGTAATTCCTGAGTGCAGAGTCAGGAGTAACTTCTGAGCACTGCTGGGTGTGACCCAAAGAGGAAAAAAAAAAAAGATGGATAGGTAAACAGAAAAAAATATGGAATTGTAGATTGATCACAAAAATGTGTAATATTAAAAGAATACTAGGAGAAGGAGATACAAAAAACGTATTTGAAGGAATAATGATGTAGAATTTTCTGAAATTAATCATAGGTACCAAAGTATGAATCCAAAAGCTCAGAGAACACCAGACAGGACAGATATTCTGCATCCTATATGCAGACATAGCCATATCATGCATAGGCATATCATAATCAAAATGTAGGGGGGAAGTTGGAAAAATCTTGAAAGACAAACGGGGAGTAAAGCAGCTATCAAAACACAGGGATAAAAATTATACCAGATTTCTCTTCAAAAATCATGTAAATAAGAAGAGAGTGAAATAAAATATTTATTACTGAAAGGAAAATAAACATTTTTACTAAAAGGGAAAAAAACTGACCAACTTAGAATTTTACAACCAGTGGAATTAACACTTCCTCAAACAAAAACTGTAGAATTTTGGCTTTGGCGGCAGTGGGGTGGG